TCTTCTCATTCAACATTTAAGAAAATGACAATCCAAAATTGTCTAACCTTAGGTTTTTCCTATTGTAAATTGCATTTATTTCTTTTATTTGTTTTTTAATTTTATAAGTTTTAATTGTATTGTATCAATCAACCCTTATTATAACTGCAGTCGATCTCGGAACAGTCGATCTCTCTCAATATTACTGTATAATACCAATGTTACAATACAACAATTTTTTTTTTTGTCTTTATTTCATCGGATCACCTATAGAAAAAAAATTCGATTTTTTTTACCCAATTTGGTTAATGAATGACCCTTTATCTTATTGGTTTTTTTTTAATATGAGCATACTTGGATCAATTCACTCTGTGATAATTTTGCTTGACAGAATATAATCCTCCCTTATACGTTCTCTTGAAGTATTCGTGGTAAATTTGATTGAAGTCAATTAATACATCTTAATAATTATGTATTCCATTATATAACCCAAATCATGGATAGCTTAATAATTTTGTTAACAGTGTTGGTTACTGTCAAAACGGCGTGGAAAGTTAGAATATATTTATAGCGGATTTCAAAGATACATCAACTTTTCGGTGTACAGCTTATTCAAATGGTTGCGGCCCTGACACTTACTTATTATACGAAATTATTTAGCAAGTTAGATCTTTTATTTAAACTAACCTTTTTTTTTAAAAAAAAAAATTATTATTATTAAAATATTTAATTTTAATTTACTCTAATTAATTAACTAAACTTGTTTAATTTAATAAAATGTGCCTTAAGCAGTGATAACTAATATATCGTATATGAAGGTGTGACTTTCAATTTTTTAAATTTTTAAAATAATGTTTACAAAATTACTGCGCCATACGATTATTAAAATTTATCAAGTATTTATTTTATTATTACTAGCTGTAACCCGTTGCTTCGCACCGGGGTCAATGAGTTTGGTTAATTATATATATTAATACATCTTGAAATAAAATTCCGATTCGCTTTTATAAGTGATGTTTATATAATCACACTTTTGTTTTAATTAGGGTGAAAATAAATAAATAATAATAAAATAAAATAAATAAAGTAAAATGATAAAAAAAAAAAGCCTAAGTACATTCCGACGATCTTTTTGAGTGCAGTCATGCGAATTTTTATGCAGACTGAATAAATTTTAATAAGACTTGGCCACCATCAGACTGAGATAACCATGCTGAGTCTTGTAATGTTGATTAATCGGACTGTTAGAATTTATATGACCTATATAATATGTAACCAATAAATCTCCGCAAAAAAACTCTATCATTTTAAACTTAAAAGACAAATGGGCGTCACATGACTGTAATAAAATTTTTATAGATGGGTAAATTTTATATCGAAATTATTTTTTTTATAAAACCGTGATTTGGATGGAAAAAGTTCTTCGCTTCATGCATTTTTATAAAATATTCTGATTCTGACCATTTCACTGCGTCATACAGTCATATGTATCTAATTAGAATCCTAATATTTAATAATTTGCTGCAAGAAAGCTTTATTTTAATTGTAATGATATATACATTTTAAAAGTCTTTTATATACGTATATTACAGCATGATAATTATTATAATAACTAACATTTGGTATTTTCTCCGGTGAGCATTATCGTCAATAATTTCAATAGTATCCATATTTGAAATATTTCTTGAAATAATTTTATAAAAGAAATTTAAGAGAATATATATGTAAAAATTAAACTCATTATATTAAAAATAAATTAATATTATAATAACGCGTCATTATAATAAAATCATTCACTGTGAAACCACTCATTATAGTGAATATACGGGAAAAAAAAAAGTTTAACAAATTTGTACAGACTCAAATAATTTTAGCAAGTTACTGGACTGCGTGGTCCGATGATCAGAACCAAATTCATATGACTGAGCTAAAAAGTGACATAACTGTACTCAGGTACTCGGTACCTCCCAGAAAAATTTTTTTTGCATGCATATTAAAAAAAATGAGTAATTATATCTTTTTATTATTATTATAGATTATTATTTTTTTTTAAAAAAAAAATTTTAAAATTCAATGCGATGTTCCTTTTTTATTTGGAAGAACTAGGATTTGATTTTCACTGCGGGTGACTAACGTCACCCACCCGTTTTATTTTGTATTTTAAAAAAAATAATTTTATAGGTAATTTAGCTAAAGTATTTTTTTTTTGATTCTTTCATCAAATAAATCGCCCTAGAGAAAAAAATCGCCTATATAAAAGGAAAAAAATAAATAAAAAGTAATAAAAATAACAAAAAAAAAGGAATTAGTAATTAGTAATCCCAAACAATGCAAAAAAAACCGTCAATCACAGCCGTGACGGACCGATCGGTCTGTCACGGCTGTGATTGACGGTTTTTCTTTCTTTCTTTCTTCTTTTTATTTGCATTGTGTCAGATTACTAACCTTTATTATTATTTATTTTTTTTCTACATTTGTTTTAACTCTTTTTATTAAAATTTTTCTTTTTTTTTTTTTTTTCTAAACTTTGACCGGTTCTGTGCGATCGGTCCGTCGTGGCAAGGTGAGTGCGGAATTTTTTTTATCTTTTTTTTTTTTTTCCTATTGTTAAACGTTTTTACTTATTTTTTTTTTCCTATTGTTTTTAAACGTTTTTTTATTTATTTTTTATTTAATTTTTTTTTTCTAGTTTTTGATCGGGTTCCGTCCGATCGGTCCGTCACGGCAAGGTCAATGCGGAGTTTTTTTTATCTTTTTTTTTTCCTATTGTTTAAACGTTTTTACTTATTTTTTTTTTCTTTTTTTTTTTCTAGCCTTTGATCGGGTTCCGTCTGATCGTTCCGTCGTGATAAGTTGAGTGCGGAGATTATTTATTTTTTTTTTCCTATTGCTTAAACATTTTTACTTATTTATTTTCTTTTTTTAATTTTTTTTTTGTTTTCTAGCCTTTGATCGGGTTCCGTCCGATCGGTCCGTCGCGGCAAGGTGAATGCGGAGTTTTTTTTATCTTTTTTTTTTCTTATTGGTTAAATGTTTTTACTTATTTTTTTTTTCTTTTTTTTTTTATTATTTTTTTTTTATAGCTTTTGATCAGGTTCCATCTGATCAGTCCGTCGCGGCAAGGTGAGTTTGTTTTTTTTATTTTTTCAGTCTTTTTTTTTTGCACTACTAATTACTAATATTTATTTTTTTATTTCTCTTTCCATCGCGGTAAAGGTAAGGTTTTTTTTTTGCATTGTATTGGATTACTAATTGTTTTGTCTTTTTGATTTAATCAATCAAATTAGTGGTCAATCGCGCCTGTCTACCCTTAAAAAGTTAAACTTAAATTTATATATATTTTTTTTTGAGTTGGTAAAAAAGGCTACGTCGGTATAGATCCTTTTTTTTTTTACAATGTTAATAATTATATTATACAAACCCGATTTTAATTTTTTAAATGCTAGACTAGAAATATAAAATTTTGTAAAAAAAATACGGATATTTTTTTTTATTGATATATAAAGAACTTCTGCTCCATTAAAACATTACAGTAAAACAGTATACAGAAACAGTATAACGAATACAGTAACAGTAAACAGTAATAATGTTTTCTTAAAAATGGCATCAAGATTTTTTTGAAAATCTTTCCATTTTTATATATAAACACTATTTTCCTTTTAAGTCAATTTACTTACCTTTTTTATATTGGTCAATATTATTTTTTTATCAACCAAAATGTATATTTCGTTAATAAATGATTACTTTATTTATTTGATAACTTTTCATAATTTATTAAAAAGCAACTCAAGTGTATTGCTTTGTAAATTAAAAACCATCTTTATTTCTTTTTTAAAACCTAAGATTTCATTAATATGCTAACTTCGATATTATATTATTGGTGCTGTCATTCCTGATAATCAACAAAATTATAATGTCTTTTTTTCTCTCTTTTTTTTTAAAAAAAAAATTGATTTGATTATTAATTTTATTATTTAATATAAATTTATTCACTATAAATAAATAATATTTTCAAATATTTGCAATTTATAATTAATATTTTGCAAGTTTGAAGGATTTAGTTAAATGTATAATAATTCAAAGAAAAAATTATAAGATCATATAAGAAATGTATCCCTTTTATCCCATCTAAAAAGTTTCTTTCAAAATATAATTACTATATGGGAGGGTTTCTAGGAAAATCAGATTCCGAGAAATTTTTGACTAAAATTAAGAGCTTAATACATTTTATTCTAATAACATCAAAAACTAAAATGCAATAAAAATCTCAATTTTGCTAAAAAATTCCCGGAACCTGATTTTCCTAGCAATCAACCCATATATACTATAATTTCGTATTTAAAATTTCTCTCGATTTTAAAAATATATATTCAAATTATTCAAATTGAACTCAAAATCTTAAAAAAAGTGAAATTTCAATTATAATTAATCTTTCTAATTTTGAACTTAAAATCTGGAAATTTTGAAACTAATTGTTGAGCGATAAACAATTTTATTTCGACACATAAAAAAAAGAGACATCAATTGCTAGGAAAATCAGGTTTCGGGAATTTTTAACATTTAGTTTTTGATGTTAAAATTTCTCGGACTATTTTAATAATTAATTTTAAATTAATTCTTAAAATAGTGTAACGGGACGTTTAGATTACCATATATAAAAAATTTTGAAAAAAAATTGTTCTAAATTTTGTTGCCACATAATTACAAAGTCAAATATGTCTGTTGATAATAATCGTTGCTATAGCTTGTGTTGTTATATGGCTCTATAAATTTTCTAAATAGATGATAAACTAAATTGAGATTTACGTTACCATAACACATACGAAAATCAATTTCAGTCACAACAATATTTATGGAAGCAAAATGACATATATGAAATACATTTTTTAGCAACGATAAATGTCTTTTAGGATTGCTATAAGTTTTGTCCATCTGATTTATATTTTTTATATCCGCGATTTTTTTTTTTTTAAAGTTTTTTTTATTTTTTAATAATCGCTAATTATTTAATTTGCATAAATATGGGAAGTAAAAATCAACGACCAAAGACGTCGTCGCTTCTACACACCGGAAATTGTACCGATGATATGCCAAGTGGCTATGTTTACCTTTATATTGTTTCATTAAAATTTTTAAATCAGAAGGGGGGATACTTTCACATCAGCACCTATAAGAGAGTCGGTGGTTAATGTTGATTTTCCGCTTACTATTTCGACAATTTTTTGCATGGCATCATGCAGATGATGCTCCGAGGCTTTCTTGGCAGTTTAAAATTTTCTACGGGATCAGCATTGACGAAGGTACATAAATATAATGATGAGTTTATAAAGACTCCGCGAGGTGATTCTTGAGTTTTTAAAGGAACACCAAAGAATTCCGATACAAAATGTACGTGTGCTAGATTGCAACATCGCGGGCCGCATTAATTTTGTAAATTTTACCATCGAATGTTATCTTCTTTTTATCAATAAGGTCTTCAAGTAGAATTGTAGAAAAAACTTGTCTTGGTCCTCAGCTATCTATAAACGAGATCGATTTCGGTCTTAAGAGATAGTTTCATCGTTACCAAGGATGCACTCGAATATATATCATCTCTGGGTCATAGAACGCGTTAAAGGACTCCTTGTTTGAAATGATTTCGCGATACGCAGGGTAATTGCGCACATCATGGATCTTTGTTGTTCGAAAACAGACGGAATGCTAAAGTCATATTAATCAATTCTTAAGATATTTTTTGGTTACGGAGGGGAACATTGCATAAATTCGGCTTATATCATCCCCGAGTGTTACGTATAAGACGACTACCGCGCAAATGATTTGAGTGTAGGAACTGCATAAGTGAATAGCACTTCTTTATATACTTTTCCAGTTGCTGAATCTTCAAGTGGAGCAATGGGACCTAATTTAAAAAGCAAAAACATAACCAAAACATTCTTTGTGGAGAATTTTTTACTGTTGATGCAATGTTCTCTTCACGAAACTCTTCTTCTAGCTCTCTTCCCCATCCGGATTTTTAAACTGTGAAAATGTGGACTTATCTGTCCAGTCTTCTTTCTATTGCCCATATAAGTCGTTTGGATTTGTTAATTGTTGAAATGAAAGGTTTCATCCGAGGAATACAAGAATGCACATTTTCCTTGTAACGTGCATGATGAATTGTTCTTGTAGAGATTGGCTTATTGATTTCAGCAGAAAATATATTAGTAATTTCTGCCAGATCTTTTCGTCATAGTTCCTTGTTGTTGAGAACGATGGCCTTTGCTTTTTTTGGCTGTCGATCCAGCAGGGTCAACCTGTCGTTTTTTGGATGGTTCTCCTGATTCAAAAACTGTAAGACATCTTGTAACAGTTGTTCGATGACATCCAATAGCTTTTACAATCTCTGTATTGTTGTGACCTAATTTTTTGGCTGCAATAATGCGTCCTTTTTGTCATCACGTGTCTTGTTTGCTCATTTTGGATTAAGAAAAAAAGTGTATACTAAGAGGTGAGAGTGTATATATATCTATGAATTCTGGTTACAATTATTATCTTTAATGAATGAATCAAATCTGGTACAATAAGTTAAAATTTCGTTTTTCTTATGGACCACTCATTATTTCAAAACAAGTGATGAATAAGACTATTATGCGATAAAATCAACAATTAAACAAATTATTAAAGTGGTTTACCTGTAGTTTTTAACTTTTTGTTGATTGTGTAACTAGCAGATTATTGGCTCGTTAATGATCATTAATTATAATGAAAATTTTCCCATTATAGAAACACAATAACTTTCAGATTTTCTTTTTTTTTTTTTATATAAATGACGACGAAACCAAAGTATGGCATATTTCTTTAATCCCAATTAAATGATATCACGTTTTATTACTTATATTGTACTTGCATATATGATGACAAGGATTAAAATTCTTAATAAACTTTATAAAGGCGTAACAACAGCAGTAACTTCAAATTCAAATACAGCAAATTCAACTGTATTATGTCTAAATTGCATAAATTATTCATTAATCTAAACAAAAGTTGTTAAAATAAATTATCTATTTCCACAAAATTTTGATGGACGCTTAGTTTCTAGTTTGACCGGAAAATCAAAAAATTTTCTCGGAAAAATGATTGACTTTTGAAATTAGCTAATCAAAAGTCTTTGCCTATATTTAAGTTATTTTAATATATGCATTTGGTAACAATTAAATTTAAGATATAAAAAGTTCCATTTAAAATTGTTTGAAATATATGATTTATCTATACTTATTAAGTTATTAAAGTTCAATATCCATCTTTTGTTGAGCCAAACTTTGAAAAAAAAACTCAGATAATTGATGCGTAACTTTTAAAATGACCGATTATTTTAGTCTTTCGCATTAATTTACTGTATACCAAATCATCACTGGTTATTTATCCTTTTTCTCGCTCGTTAAAAATGTAATTGCATTAAACACATGACCTTATATTGCCCAGATTTCGTAAATACATTATATAAAGTGCAAAACTTTTTTATAAATTCATGATTATAATACAATATCACCATGGGGTGCAAATTTGGAAAGCATACTAAGCTGAACGTAAAATTAAAGAAAAAATCAAAGGCATATAAGGTAAAAAAAATCCATTTTATTGATCATAAAATATTCGACCAAATAATTTAATTTATTTTTTTATGTTGAATATTTAGACCAAAGAGTGTTTACATGTTCAACTTAATAATTTTTTTATCTTACCACACTTACCTGTTTATGTATATTGGGATATTAATATAAAAACAGACCCTGCGTCGACCAATATCAAACCCACAATTTATATAATAAGGATAACTATAAGTTTATATAATTTTATTTGAACCGACAAAGCACTAAATTTCGTATTAAGCAACAAGCGCTGATAGCATTATTGACCAAGTTTTGATTGTAGTAACTCGACCTTTAGTTGTTTTACTTACTCGAGTTACATATGTTCGAGTAATTAGAGTTAACGTTTAGAACATTAAATATATTAAAAGTTAAGTATTAATATACAAGAATATTGTTAAGCCGAGCTGATCATTCTATAGCGTAGCGAAATATATAATCAGTTTTTATTGTCATATCATAAACTCATTAAATAATTTGTTAAAATTCTTGTACGTATTTTAAATAATCTAAAGGGAATGATTAATATACCGCGGTACTTTGAAATTTTGCTACCGCACGTGATAAAATTGTCTAATAGAGTCTGTAAATAAATCAACCAATTTTTTTAACAGCCTTCTTATTTAAGTTTTTAAAATTAGGATTATGACTTTCTAGTCATGTAATTTTATAATGTGCTTTCATGAAGTATTTGAAGTATTTCAATGCGAAATTCTTTTTAACATTAAAAAATAAAACGTTAATACCCCAGCAAACAAATCAGTATGAACTCAAGCAGGTAGATTTGAGTTAATTTGAAATTCTTAACTCGAGTCGAAATAATTCCGACTCGAGTCATAATGAATTTAGATATAAACGAATTTTTTATACTTTCTTGAACTTAATCCATCAATTCTAGAGCTGGCCAAAATATGCGTGAAAGCTTGATTTGTGAGGACAAGCATTATCTATCTTCTTTGAATTTTACCATTAAAATCCGAAATAAGTTGTCATTTTACATTTATTTTGCAGAATAATTTATTTTACGTACCAAGTCTAGGTAAGCAGAATTCTAACGAAATTTAATATCTTTTTCCGCGCAGCTTGCAATCTGTCATCAGAACATCAGAACCGGAAATAATCAGCAAACGAAAAATGACCAACACCATTAGCTATTGTTGGAATTGTATGACAATGCATAAACAATAACCTTATAATGAAAACAATAAAAATGTGATATGCTTTTTTTTTTTCGTTTAAACTATAATAATGTCTGACGATAACGACAAAGGTAAAAAAGTATAATATAAAGTTTAAAAAAGCAAATGAATTTAACATAGTTATTTGAAAGTTAGGACATGAGACGATATTCTAAAAATTTTATTAAAAATCCATTAGAACTAGTTTCGGGCGTTAAGAAAATTTCTTCATTAGAAAATTAGAAGGTAATATCAAGTACTATTCATTAACACAAAAATACTATAAAATTAATATATTTTGAACATTATTTAAATAACAATTAATTTATAAAATTTTAGATGGAAGAATTAAATGGTAATAACTTTTAATAAAAAATAAATGGTAATGGTTTATAACAATATTACAGGATGTAAGTCATTTAATATGTACCATATTTCGACATATGCAATTTAACTTAATTTTTATTTGATTATTTCTAGGGAGTAAGTTCACTTTATTTTTTAATTTGTAATTAAACTTTAGTTTTTATTAAATAATATTTATTTATCCGGTATCCCGTGATTTTTTATAATTAATGATGACTATAATAAATCGGTTATCAGGAAAAAAATCATTTATCAGGCAAATAATTGTTTATCAGGTAAAAAATCATTTATCAGGCAAAAAATCGTTTATCAGGCAAAAAATCATTAAAAGGCATTAATAATTTTTACTAAGCATTATTTGTATTAATAAAATTACATTTAAAACTAATTAATTATATATAGTACAATTTTTATAATAAGTTTTA